ACATAAAGAAGAAAAAATTAATTATTTTTAATAATAAGTGGAAATCTCCACCCTTTGCCTGATAACATTCACGAGACCAGAAACTTGTGTAGCAAAATGATGGAAAATAAAGCTTAATATTTTTTTAAAAAAATCCACATTACAAACAAAAACAGTTGTGGTTTCTCTCTTCTTTTTAATATACACACTTTTCACTCATTGGAACTCTTCCTTTTATATATATATATATATATATATATATATATATATTTCATTGAATACAACAGACAAGGTGTTTGATTTAGTTTTTATACAATTTTTCATGCAATTTTTTTCTTTTCAGATGAAAAATTATATAAAAACTGTCTGAATATTCTTTTTTTCCGAGAGTTTTCGGCTATACATTTAGCCATTTTCAAGAATGAAATATTGTAACTGTTATTTTTTTTGTTTAACAGTTAAAATATTTAATTCTTGAAAATGGTTAATGTATAGCTGAAAGCGCTTGGAAAAAAGAACATTCGGATAGTTTTTATATAATTTATCATCGGAAAAGGAAAAAAATTATTAGATTGCATGAGAAATTATATAAAAAACTAAATAAAAGCACCTTGTCTGTCATATTCAGTGAAATGTGCATGAAAGAAGGATTGCTGCCTAAATACACAAATATATATATATATATATACAAAATATATATATATATATATATATATTTAATAGGACTATTAGAAGGATTTCATTGGTAACAAAGAAAAGAATACTGAGCTGTTATGTGCCATCTGTCTTTCTTTATGGTAGCGAATATTGGACAATTTCCTCAAAGATGAAGAGACTCAAGACGATGGAGATATGTTTCTACAGAAGGATGCGAAGGATATCATGGACTGAGCGTGTGAGCAATGATGAGGTGTTAGAGGGGTTTCAAACAAGGAGGAGGCATATAGTTAACACCAGGAAGAGGCAGCTGAAGTTTCTTGGACACATAATGAGGAAGGAGGGCTTGGAGAATCTTGTTGAATAGAGGGAAAGAGAGACAAGAGAAAACAATGCATGACATACCTGTTGGGCTTAAGCAAGTGGTTGACAAAATGTGATCTGGGGAAGCTAGCAGAAGGAAAGAACTTCTTGAGAGCTGCAAGGGATAGAGGAAGAGGTGGAGAGCCATGATTGCCTACATCCTAAATGGACATGACACATACAAAGAAGGAATGAAATTTGAGGAATAAAATGATGACAAAATGATAACAATTTTAGCAACAAGATTGATGATATTTATCATATATTAGTAGGCTTTTTGACTAAATTGAAGAACGAAGAGAAATATTTTAAATTTGGAGTTTTTGCAACACACCTGTGTCCTTTTTCAACAAAATGAGAAATAAACAAAGAATTGGGACTCATTCTTTGATCTCTCCTTTGGGAGGTGAACCTCATTAAAATCAAGTAACAGAAAAAATGACATCAAGATATCTGTTTACTAAATTGATATAAATCCAATTAAACATTAAAAAAGTTTTGTTTATCGATGGGTTCCCCTCTTAATGGCATTTTCGCCTCATCACTTTTAAAAAGTCATCCTTTCAAAAATACTTTTTATGATCTTCAACATTAGATCGTCTATGGTGTGTGTATGTCACCACGAAATGTATCTTTATGCTTTAGACATCTGACAACATTCATATTTCTCTTACTTAAACCCCTTCCACTCACCTTTCCTAAAATTCTCTCTGTTAAGGTTTAATCTCCCTCCTTATCTAGCCTGTTACCCCTCTCTTTAGCTCTAACATTTGTCCCACACCCTCATACTTACACTCTCTCTAAATTCTGTTTTTATTTCCGGAGTTGTTTTTTCTGTTTTCTTTTTGAATTTGTTGGTCTGATGAATTGGATCGTATTTACGATTCCAATGGAATAAATTATGACCATGGAATATTAGTGTTTAAGCCTTTTTATTATATCCTTACTCTGTCGTGGACATTGAGTTCTACCTGGATTCTATCCTCTTGGAATATTTTATTCAAAAAATATATATGTATGGGTATGCACCTATGTATATATATTTTTATATATTTTGCATATGTATGTGTATATTTACCACTAATATTATCTATCTATCTATCTATCTATCTATCTATCTATCTATCTATCTATCTATATATATATATCTATATATATATATATATATATATATATTTATATCTGCATATATATATATATATTTATGTATATATATATATATAAAAACCATTTATTTTATTTTCAACATCATCACTTGATAAGACACAGAGTGTGTTGAAACAAAATGGCTATTTTTGTAGTGATTTTATAACATACTTATGTTATAATTTTTTTTTATAAAATATAATATATATATATATATATATATATATATATATACATACAGATATAAATAGATAGATATAGATAAATAGATGGATGAATGTGGCCATAACTTATGGGAGAGAAGACAAAAAACATAAAATTGATTAACACAGAATCAGTAAAGATGAGAGAATGAAAGCATAAATAAAAGACACGATGTGTATATATGTCTATAGAAAAATCAGCACAAACATTTATGTGTATTTAGAGTATTATGTATATCTGTATGTTGATACAGAGATGTAGATATGTCCATTGAAGAGAAGCCCTTTAAAATCTATGGTTATCTGTTACTTGAAAAGAGAAGTTGGTTATTTTCTTCAGAAGTAATAAGAAAAGCTTACTCCGAACTAAAAGCATCTGTTTCAGACTTCAAAGGATTCAGCTGACAACAATTGGATAAGTTACTATCATTTGAAAAGAAACATCTAAGATCTTAACAGTGTATGTGGCACCCACCATGCCACATACACTGAGTTGACTCATCCTCATTCTTTGTTTTCCATTAGTAAGGAGGAATTTCCTCTCAGCTTCTTCCCCAGAAATGTTACTTTGTAGAACAGACTTTGACCACTACGATCTTAACCTATTCAAGTCTAGGGTTAATATTTTTTTACTGTAAAGTTCACACTATACAAGGCCGAGGGGCCACTCAAGGTAGAGGGTTACATGAAGCAGTAGTTCATATGGATAGGAGGGGAAGATAATGGCTAACTCTAAGTGATCAGAGAAATATTCTCTTGGGAGTCTTTTCCACAGAGCAGTTGTACATAGGATGAAGCTGTTTGATAATAATATGCACTTCTTACATCCTCCCTTCATGGCTTTACAACAACAGCAATCCTCTGCCTTGAGTGGCTATTGGGCCTTGTATTGGATGAACAGCAGTAGGAAAAAAGTTATTGTCACAGAAAAAACTGTTACTTTGTGAAACAGACTCCCGGAGGGATGCTTCCCTTCTCTGTACAATTTCAACCTCTTCAAATGTAGGGTTGATTATTATATATCCTACATAACTTCATAATATGTATTTCTTACTTTATGCCCTTACAAAAACAGTTGTCCAGTCCTCACTTTCCAATCTCAATAGAGCCTAAAAGCACCTCCGCCTCTTTGTGGGTGACTAATTATTTTCTACTCTGAAACCCCTCTCTCACAGATGAGATGTCGCAAGTCTCTCAACATTTCATTGCTACTTATTTTTTTAAGCTTTTCACCCCAAGCAAAGTGGGAATGCCACTAGCACATAAGGGGTTACAGAAAGTGGGAGCAAGATTAAAGAGGTGCGAAAGAGGAAAGGATGAAGAGAAGGACAGGGAATAGATCAAGGCATTTGGAAATGTTGATTGACATTACATTTGAATTTTTGAAGATTATAGTAATCACGGGAGCAAGTAAGAGGAAGGGAGTTCCACAGACAGGAAGTGCGAGACATGAAGCTGTTGGAGTAGAAGAGACGACTACATTTAACTGTTTTGACAGTGAGATGCAGACCTATTGGCATGTTTAAATTCATGCAAATTGGGAACGAGCAAAAAAAGTTTGTTGGAGCAGTTACCGTGAAAGTATTTGTAGAAAAGACAGAGGGAGGTGACAGCATGTCTGTGAGAGAGCGACTGTAAACAAGATGCTATATCAGGGCTAACCACATTGCATATCCATCTCTGGATTTTATCAAGCCATGGAAAGTGCTCAAACGAACTGCATTCCTTAGTTCCACCAATTCTAACTTTCATGGCTAAGACCCTCACATACAAGATGTCGCAAGTCTCTCAACGTTATATTGCTACTTCCATGGAAAGTGCTAAAATGAACTACATTCCTCAGTTCCACCAATTCTAACGTTCATGGCTAAAACCCTCATGGACAAGGTATCAAAGTCTCTCAAGCTGGTACACATGAGACTATTTCCAGGAATCTTTCTGCCTCACAAGATGCCTTGGAGATACCAGATATTATTGGTAGCATACAGGTGGAGGTACTGCTTGAAACTGCTCACGTGCTGAGGAAAATGTTGCTTTGCTTAGCTGTGGCTAGCAGCTGAGACGTGACCTGGTTGAAACATCTACATGTCAAAGAGGATATCTATAATAAAAATTTAATAATAAAGATAGCTCTCATAGTTTCTTTTCTTAACTGATTGGAGATATTTTACACCTATTTTTTTCTTGGTGAATTAAAATGGGCTACAGTAAATATTGCTTAGTGGGTGATGCACTTTCTATCTGTTCATGGGCATGAGTAGTCAGGGAGGATCATGGCCAGATGTTGAGGATCATGGCCAGGTTCTCCTGTTTTGAGTTTGAATGTTGAGACAGCTAAAGATTTGGGAGTCACATCTAGATACAAGGAAACACACTCATTTGTAGACCATGTGATCAGACTGAGCTGCCCAACCTGAATATATTTTTAACTGGGAAATATCTGCAAGGATTTGTGCAGCTTTTATCAAAACCTCTATAATGGAGATATTTGGCTGTGTCTTTTATGCCCTTATCAGACTAAGTACCATTGATGTATATATTGGGCGGTATATATTTGTATTCCAGCATCATTTTGCTGGTGTGTTGCTTTCTAACAGAATCGTTTAGGTAAAGGCTAATTTCATTCTTCATTTGGCATCATACCTTTTTTAATCACATTTTTATTTGATTAATTCTTAGATGATAGAGCATTGAAAATTGTGATCTTTTATTTATTTTATTGGGTTGTAAAGAAATAAGAGCAAGGAAATAGGAACAAAAAGAAAAGAGTAAATATAGAAAACGGGAGTAAGAATCGAAAAAGTTAAGAAAGAAAAGAGGATAAAAGTGAAAGAAGGAAAGAGAGATAAGAAAAAAATTGGAAAAAGAAGAAAGAAGTTGGAAAATAAAAGAAGAAAATAGAGGCAACAAAAAAATCTAGAAAAATAAATTAGAAAGTGAAAAAAAAATCAAATAAATTAAAAAAGAAAAATAATATTTATAAAAAAAAGTAACATCAAGAAAGAAATGTAAAAAATAGAAAGAAAAGACAGAAAAGGAAGAATAACAAAAAAGGAAGACAAGAAAAATGATAGACAAATAAGAGAGAAAGAAAAGAAAAAGAAAGGTCAAAATGAATGACAAATATGAAAGAAAGAAAAAGAAAGAGTAAGATGAAAAATGAAAGATGAATGAAAAAGATAAAGAAAAGAAAGATGAAAAATGAAAGACAAATAAGAAAGAAAGAAAAGACAAAGAAAAAGAAAAAGAAAGACAAGAAAAATAAAAGACAAGAGAGAGAAACAGAGAAGAAAAGACAAATAAGAGAGAAAGAAAAGGGAAGACAAGGAAAAGAAAGAAAAGAAAAGAAAAATGAAGGACAAATAAGAGAGAAAGAAAAGAAAAGACAAAAAAGGAAAAAAAAGAAGAAAAATGAAAAACAAATAAGAAATAAAATAAAAATGATAGAAAAGAAAAAATAAATAAGAGAGAAAGAAAAGAAAAGACAAAAAAAGAAGAAAAAGAAAAATGAAAAATGAAAGACAAATAAGAAAGAAAGAAAATACAAAGAAAATAAAGAAAAAGAAAGACAAGAAAAATGAAAGACGAGGGAGAGATAAAGAAAAGAAAAGACAAATAAGAGAGAAAGAAAAGGCAAGACAAACAAAAGAAAGAAAAAGAAAAATGAAAGATGAAGGACAAATAAGAGAGAAAGAAAAGAAAAGACCAAAAAGGAAAAAAGAAAGAAGAAAAATGAAAAACAAACAAGAAATAAAATAAAAACGATAGAAAAGAAAAATAAATAAGAGAGAAAGAAAATACAAAGAAAAGAAAGTAAAAGAAAGTAAACAAAAAAATGAAAGACAAATAAAAAATAAAAACAATAGAAGGAAAAAAATCAAAGGAACAAAAAAGTAACTAGAATGTAATAATGATTTTCTTAAAGTGAATACCATAATAATCTTTAGTCTATTTTGTTTTCTTACTATATATAACACCCTGTTAAGCACTTTTGTCAGTAAGCTGATACAGTGTTCTCCTTCAAAGAGAACAAGCTTAGACTGTATCTACAAATGACAATTGTCATTCTCATCTCAAAACAAGAACAATATTGAACAGTCAATGCAAAGCAGTTAAACAGGAATCATTATCAACACCAAAAACAGAAAACCAGAAAAATAATTGCAATATGAAATTCTAAAAAAAAAAACAAAATCTGCTTAGCAACAATTGAATAAAAACAGTTTTTAAAATATTCTGTTTTTTAAGAATAGAAGAATTAACTGAAAATATTAATTTGATGTCAAATACAATTCAATACATAGTGTGCAGGTTGTATAACCATTAGCAGTTTGGAAAGAGAGTTTGAATTCTGAACATGTTTATTGCATTCACTTTCTTACAAATACCCTTGGAAAAAGTATGAGAGCTTATGATCATATGTTTAAACACCATTTCTCATATGATCACCAGGTAAGCAATGTCAAACCTGGTCAGTATCTAGATGGGTGATCACTTGGGAATACCAGATGCTGTAAGCTTGGATTTTAAGCAATATGATAGATAACAGCTTGGAATCGAAAATCAGTAAGCTGAGTTCCAATTCCAGTTGTGTTCGTTATATTCACTGATGTGACCCTATTGTTCTCCTAGCTATGGGTTAATTAGTAGGATTTGCATCAGTATAATCATTATTATCTCCTAAAAATTCTTACAATCTAAAAATATTTTTTTATCTTTAAATAATCTGCAAAAGGTCGATAAGCTGTAAAAAATAAATCACTCAATCTTGGGAAAGGTATGAATAGAAGGGCAAACTGAGTTCTCTAGCCATTGCTGTTAACCAATCTAAGAGAAGGGCAACAAAACCAGTTTGTGTGCTAATTTAACCAGAAGTAAACCTTTAAAAATCTCACTTTATTGCAGAAATGGACTGTGATTTGATTGATTTTGATTTGTTTGTTTAATGGCATATCAACATCTTATGGGTCATTTGATGCCAAAATTTAATTTTCTTGGGAGCTTTGAAGTAATAAAAATTTTATTCTGCTTTCACAGTTGAATACATGGTAGATTATATTCAGCTTTTGTGCATATACATATTTGTGTAGACATAATTACTAGAGGCGGTGACATGTGATTTATGTTGCTTTGCTTATCTTTGGGAATACAGTTTGATTTAAGAAATTGTTGAATATTATATGGCTTAATGTCATGAAAGAGTTCTTTCATGTTGGTTGTTTGGTAGTATTTTAAGCAGATTTAGTCTGAAGTCCCCACAATTTGTAAGTGATATTTAGCTACCCCCCCATGAGGGTTGCATATGGCACAAGGCCGGGTTTAATCTGGGATTTGGCCCAAAATATTTCCTCTTTGAACCCACATAAGCGGGTTCAGGGGCAGTCAACCACCCCAAACAAGACTCTGCCCTTCAGCAGAGCCTCGTCCAGGTTCCTCTCTGTCCGAGAGCAGAGAGTTAGACTGTAACTTAGCAAATATTTTTGCCAATTTATCATACCCACAATTTGTAAGTAAGTGCATATTATTGGTCATCTTACTATAAATAAATATTGTTGGTAATTTTTTATATAAAACTATAGTGCTGGTATTTTCACAATAAAAATATATTTATACTTTCATAATGTTTTGTTTGGGGGTTTCACTATTTGTTCATAGCTGGGACCCTAGCAGGTGATACCATTCACGTGATGGTGGACCAGTCAACAACAGCAGTTAAGAGGTGGTTCCACGCTCCTCAAAACTGGTTAAGGCAGTGGAGAACTTGGAGAGGTGAATTAACAGGAGATAACTGATAACTGACATCTGTTAGACATGGCATGTGGAACTAGAACAGTCGACCCCAGCGAGCGAAATAAAGTGTTCAGTTTTACATTCCAACCACCTGAAGAAGGCCAGAGCATACAACGGCTGAAACGTGATAAATATGGCAACAAAGATGAGGACAATAGTTTGAATAATGTAAATAGTGTACATAATACCTCATCTCAGAAATATAGACAAAAAAAAATTATCTGTCTATATTTCCATTTATACCTTTATTTATTTATTCAAACCTTTTCCATTTATACCTTTATTTATTTATTCATACTATTTCCATTTATACCTTTATTTATTTATTCATACCTTTTCCATTTACACCTTTATTTATTTATTTAAACCTTTTCCATTTATACGTTTATTTATTTATTCATACCTTTTCCATTTATACCTTTATTTATTTATCATAACTTTTCCATTTATACCTTTTATTTATTTATTCATACCTTTTCCATTTACATTTTTATTTATTTATTTAAACCTTTTCCATTTATACGTTTATTTATTTATTCATACCTTTTCCATTTATACCTTTATTTATTTATCATAACTTTTCCATTTATACCTTTATTTATTTATTTATTCATACCTTTTCCATTTATACCTTTATTTATTTATTTGTACCTTTTCCATTTATACCTTTATTTATTTATTCATACTGTTTCCATTTATACCTTTATTTATTTATCATACCTTTTCCATTTATACCTTTATTTATTTATTTATTCATACATTTTCCATTTATACCTTTATTTATTTATTCATACCTTTTCCATTTATACCTTTATTTATTTATTCATACCTTTTCAATTTATACCTTTATTTATTTATTCATACTGTTTCCATTTATACCTTTTCCATTCATACCTTTTCCAAAGGTATTAGCATGTAAGTGCTAATACCCTTGGGAATGGTATGAATCCTCTTCTTCTCCATCTAGCTATGGCTAAATAAGTAGCAGGACAGACTGGGATAACAACTCGTGTACCACAGAAAAAAATGGCAACCTACTGCCTCGGCAATCATGTATCGAAAGAAACATGATCACTTAAGCATGTATCACACATGGCACATAACTGACTGAAATTCACTTATGTACTAATACCCTTGGGAAAGATATGAATCCTCTTCTTCTACTACCAGCAGAATAGACCGGGTTCTATAACCTTGGATGGCAACTGGTCTACTGCAGAAAGAAAATGGCAACCTACTGCAGAAAAAAATCTGCCTCATCAGTCATGTATCGAAAGATTGCCTAAATGTGTATCACGCATGTCACATGACTGACTGACTGACACCAACCTATTTAGGAGCATATTGAACCTTGAACCCCTGTTGAATGCAGTGCTAATTTCATTAAATATAGACAAGGGCTTCTTGAGCTTGGTCTATTTTTCTGTTTTTGCAACGTTTTGAATAGAAAATTCAATATTTGTTTTTAATACACATTATAATATCAACTGCAGATATAAACAAAAACTTGCATATTATATTCCAACTATTATATGTGTGAAAAGTAATAAACATTCTTAATACATTATAACATTATTAAATAAATTTAAATATACATTGGGTGTTCCAATAACCGATTTTAAATATGAATTAAGTTTAAGCGTCTAATGATTTTTTCTTTTTCTTTCAGATTTAACAACTTAAGTCTTTGGAATTTCAACCGTGGAAAGATTAACAATCAAACAACGTGTTACAGTTATCAAAGCCTATTATGAAAATGGATGTTCAAACAGAAATTCAATGAGAAGTTTCCAGATCACATCACCTCTCAAAACAGCGAAGTCAATTGGCCACCACAATCATGGGACTTGACGCCTTTAGATTTCTTCCTTTAGGGTCATCTCAAAAGTAAGGTCTATGTCAACAAGCCAACAGCATTTCAACAGCTGAAGGATGAGATAATAAGGCATATTGGTAAGATCGAAGAGCAACTATGCAGAGACGTCATCAAAAATTTTTGACCATCAAGTGGAGGTGTGCTGCCAAAGCTTTAGTGGACATTTGGGCAATATTATTTTTCACATGTAATTGCCATGACTTAAATATCATGATCCAATAGAGAAATAAACACATTTTCACCAATAACACTGATTTATTTACTGCTGACTTTGATCCGTCTTAATGAAACACCCTTTAGTTTGGTCTATGGCGTAGCCAGATCCAGCAGTGTATACGCTAATTTTATATCTTGTGTATTCACTATACTGCATTAGAAATTTTTTCATAATACTTGATAGATTAAAATACTATGTGGGTGTGTCATTGTAAAATGTTATCTGTATGGCTAAAATATTCTGTCATGTGACTTGATGACTTGGTAAATAAATGAATAGATGCACGTTGTGAGGAAGAAACAAGGATATATAATAATAAAATATCATTATTAATTTGAAAAAATTAAACTAAGTGTACAAATATGAGGCATCCATTGACTGTAGTTTGTATCCTTGAGTCAATAAGAACATTTCTTTCCTTAGCTGCATACCTTGCCCAAGGGTATTAGCACATAGGTGAATCTAATGAACTCAACTGGAATTCAAACTCAGCTCTCTGATTCCTCAATCAGTGCTGCAATCCATTACTCTACTGTGCATCCATACTTTATATTATTCAATAAATATAAATCTCCCTAGGCTGATGATTACTGTTTGTTTTTTTAAATGACTTTCACCTTTGAAAATTATAATATGGTAAATACTAAAATTGGTATAGATTGTCATCCTGGGGCTATTATTACTTGAATGGAAAGGTCTTTAATGTAATTTCAATTTGCAATTCCATTCTAAAAAAAAAAAAAGTAAATTTTTTGTTAGTAATTTTGTGTCACATTTGATCAAAGTAATATTATATGGTAGTAATAATAATCATTACAGTGACTTGTATTTTTTAATCAATTTCATCCCAAGCAAGGAAGTAAAGCCACTAAGACATGAGAGGTTACTGGTTGTAGAAGAATTAGGAACATAAACATTAATAATGAGAGGGAAGTGAAAAGAGTAATTAGGATGACAGTAGATTGTGATTGAAATTGCATTTAAATATTTGCAGAATAGTGTTAGCTGAAAATC